CTGCCACCACTGGCTATATTGATGTCCGTGGTCCTCACTGCTGACATTTGTGACCTGTGCTGTGGCTGGAGGCCATGCTGATGTCCGTGGTCTGTGCTGTGGCTGGAGACCATGTTGGTGTCTGTGGTCTGTGTTGTGGCTGGAGACCATGCTGACGTCCGTGGTCTGTGCTGTGGCTGGAGGCCATGATGACATCTGTGGCCTGTGCTGTGGCTGGAGACCATGCTGATGTCCGTGGTCTGTGCTGTGGCTGGAGGCCATGCTGACGTCCATGGTCTATGCTGTGGCTGGAGGCCATGCTGACATCTGTGGCCTGTGCTGTGGCTGGAGGCCATGCTGATGTCCGTGGTCTGTGCTGTGGCTGGAGGCCATGCTGACATCCATGGTCTGTGCTGTGGCTGGAGGCCATGTTGGTGTCCGTGGTCTGTGCTGTGGCTGGAGGCCATGTTGGTGTCCATGGTCTGTGCTGTGGCTGGAGGCCATGTTGGTGTCTGTGGTCTGTGCTGTGGCTGGAGACCATGTTGGTGTCTGTGGTCTGTGCTGTGGCTGGAGGCCATGCTGACATCTGTGGTCTGTGCTGTGGCTGGAGGCCATGTTGGTGTCTGTGGTCTGTGCTGTGGCTGGAGGCCATGCTGATGTCCGTGGTCTGTGCTGTGGCTGGAGGCCATGCTGACATCTGTGGTCTGTGTTGTGGCTGGAGACCACGCTGACATCCTGAGGTGCTGGTGCTGGAAACCATTTGGAAATCCAGGACCTGTGCTGCTGCTGGCTGCTATGGGCAAGGAAGCTTCCTTTGCAGTTGTGTTGGTGACTGCAGACTCACAGCTGAGCGTGAGAGACATTGAAGGCTTCTGTGATGGCCTCTCCCTCAACCTTCAGAAAAGAAACAGTGTAGACAGGCAGCTGTTGAAGAAAGTCCTTTTAAAACTGTGATGAATGTGCCGAAGTGCAGTTCTTCGGGGTTGGTGGCTCCTGGTGGAGGGGTGGGAGTGGGGAAGGACATCACAGGTCTGGCCCCTGGGAGTTTGGCCGTGCTCCAAGGAGCATATGAGCAACACAAATCGGACTTGGTATTTGTTTGACCTGTTTTTTAGGGGGGATGGCACAAGGGTAGGAGGGTGGACCTGGAAGAAAGGGGAAGTGAGTGTGATCATGGTACAATGTATAAAATTCCCAAATAATTAATAAAAATCTTATGTTGGGGAGAAAGCAAAGGAGAAAGGGGATTACAAACAATATCTCATCTTTTTAATTTTAAAAAAAATATGTATTCATTTTTATTTTCTGCACACAAGTGTTTGTCTGCCTTTAGATGTATGTATACCACATATTTGCAGTGCCCATGGAGGCTGGAGAGGACATGTGATACTCTATATCTGGAATTACAGATGTTTTGAGCACCATATAGGGCTGGGAATTGAACCCACGTCCTCTGGAAGAGCAGCCAGTGCTCTCAATCACTGAGCCATCTTTCCAGCTCCAAATCCTCATCGATCTTAAGAGACTCACAAAAGAAGACAAATTAAGCCCAGAGTAAGCAGGGACATGGAAATAAGAGACCAGAGGAGAAATCAGTGAAAGCAGAAAACAAAATAAAGGAAGTGGGCACAAAATACCACAAAGGAGAGAGGTGACATCATTACCACGACTGTGCCTGAGCTGACAGCTTAGATCAAATGTGGATCCTGTGTAAGATAGAGACTACCTGGCTAATGTAAGAATACAGTGATTCTCTACACGGGCAAGTACCCAGTAAGCGAACTAATATTTTTATTATTGTTGTTGCTGAAGATCAAAACGCAGAGCTGGGCGTGTGACTCTGTTGGTAAAGTGCATGCCTAGAGTACATGAAGTGCTGGGTTCCATCACCAGGACCACACGAAACCAGGCATAGTGGTACACACCTGTAATCTCGGTGCTGGCGAGCGGGAGGCTGGAAGATCAGAAGTTGAAAGTCATCCCAGCTACATATAGAAGTCTGTTCCAGCTTGGGCTACGTGAGAGAAAACAGAAACCACAAAGAAAACGCCAGGCCCTGGTGGCTTTGCTAGTTAATTCAACTGAAAGTTTTAGTAAGAACTACTGATTCTATGCAAATTTCTAAGAAAATTTAAAGCCACACTTCCTGAGGCACCGTCTGAGGGCATCACCAACCCCAAGCCACACACTTCATAAACAGAGATACTTCTAAAGAAAACCATAGTAAGCCAAGCCTACGCTTTTATCCATTGGGACTTTAGCCTAAGGACCCAAAGATTGGCTTAAAATTTGAATTCAATTGATATCGTTTGCGAGTTTGCAAATTGAGGGGGCAGAAGTGCTTTACACTTCCACACCAGGCGGGCTAGCGAGAGCTGCACCTCAGTGGCAGGCACCTCAGATCATGACCGAACCCTCCTGTCAGCTCCCTCATTTTCAGATTTTCAGTGGGCGTGCTTGGAGTTGGGGCTTTAGGGGGTGATTGACTCATGAGGACAGAGCCCTTAGGAATGGGGTTGATGTCTCTGCAAGAACAGGTAAGAGAGCAGATATCTCTCTCCTGTGGAAGATATGGCAAAAAATCTACCCAATGGCAAGCCCAGAGACTTCACCAGGAACTGGACCAGCTAGCATCGTAACCTTCACCTTCCCAGCCTCTAGAACACTGTGGAGCTGGAGAGATGCATGGCTCAGCAGTCAAGTGGGCACACTGTTTTTGCAGAGGACTCAAGTTCAGTTCCCAGCACCCATTTTGGGTGGCTCATAACAACCTGAAACAAGCTCCAGGGATGTGACGCCACCTTCTGGTCTCTAAGGGAACCGGCACTCATGTGCATATACACACCTGTGTATACACACACACACTTTTTAAAATTTTTTTAAATAATATACTTGTATTATTCAAATCCTCACATCAGTGCTGGTTTTGTTTTAACAGAGCAAACTAAAACCACACAGCTTCAAAAGATCTGCAGAGATCTGCAGACACCACAAGACAGTATAACAACAAAGATCTGTAGACACCCACAAGACATATTACAACAAAGATGTATAGACACCCACAAGACAGTATTACAACAAAGTGTGCAGACATCCGTGAGACAGTATTACAACAAAGCTGTCTACTGATTTCAGTAGTGGGGAGGGGAGCAAAGCTTGGGCCTTGAGTTTGCTAGGCAAGAGTTCTACCACTGAGCCCCAGCCCTCTTTTTCACTTTTTGTTTTGAGACGAAGTCTCACTACACTGCTGACCCTGAACCCCCTCTGTAGCTCAGTTCAGTCTTGAACTTTTGAGCCCCCTACCTCAGTTTCCCAGTAACTGAGATCACATCTGTACCATGAGGACCAGCTAAAATGTCCTCTGAGCTGAGGAGGAATTCTTCCTCCTGAAGAAAGTTGTTTCTGACTCCGTGCTGGGAATGTCCAGTGCTGTGCCCCAAATGCTGGCTGGTGGCTGGCTTCTTTTCCACTGTGTCCCTTAGTCTGCTAAGGAGCTGTGTAAACATTAACAAAGTTGAGTTCCCCGGGTTTTGAAGGAAAACGGTCCTTCCAGGATAGGTGGAAGAACTCAGCCCATTCCCAAATACATTTAGGAAAAGCCGGCCCTCCTTCTCACGGTGACCTGAGAGCTGTTGGAAAGCTGTCGTCTGCAGGACACGCTTAGAAGCTAAAACCAGCAACCAAGGTGTGAGGAAATGGAGTGGGGTGTTCTCTGAGAGGGTTCCCGGTTCTGATGCTATACTCATGAGAACAGGCCCAAATCTTGCCATTACTTTGTAGAGACCCCAGGCAGGCTCAGCCCCCTTATGAAGCCACACGTACCCACGTGTCTCTGGGTCCTCTCTTGAAACTACATTGCTGTGATGCAAGCCCAGAGACTGGCTAACTTTATAAAAGAGAGGTTTATCTAGCTCATAGCTCTGAGGGGACCTGGGACCTTTCAGAGTGTGTCCCCGGTTAATCTGAGGACCTCCCACAAGGCTCCACCATCACCACCCTGGGGCACAAGCCCCCAAAGCGTGAACCTGGGTTAGAAGTGCTGGGAGAGCATCTCCCCATGGGCATGTGTTCTCATCCCTCCATCTGCCCGGGCGTCTTCACATCGGCATGGGCTGTTCACTGCCGTCATAGCAGCCCTCCTCTGCTTCTCCAGGCCTTGGAGCAGATAGCCCTCACTCGGGAAACCTTCCCTACAGACCTCCCATGCAACACCCTACTACCACCCAACACTCTGCATGGATCTGTGTAGAAACAAGATGACAGTCTCAGGTGTCACCCTCCAAATGTCACCCTCCACCTCTTGTGTGACAAAGTCTCTCATTGGCCTAGAGCTCACTAAGCTAGAGTAGCCGGCCAGTCATGTCTGAGGTTCTGCCAATCTCTGTCTCCCCAGCACTGGGATCGCCCTCTGGAATCAAACCAGGGTCCTCGTGCCTACAAGGCAGGTGTCTTACCAGCTGAGTTGTACCCCCAGCCTTTGCTGCAGTTTTTGAGTGCTTAAGCCTCTAGACAGGTCCCAGAACCTGAAACAGAGCCTGTCTCATAGATATCTATTGGTTGGGAGAAGGTCACGAATAGTACAGATGGCTGTAGTCAGAATTTTCTGTCTTGCCAGCCATCTCCCAAATAACCACATGGAGACTTCTTATTAATTATAAAACTTGGCCATAGCTTAAGCTTATTACTAACTAGCTCTTTCAACTTAAATTGTCCCATTTCTATTAATTTACATATTGCTGCTCTCTTTTTGTTCATAAGTTCTGCCTAACCTCTACCTGCCCAGCTATTGGCAATTCAGCCCTTTATTAGACAATGAGAGCAACAAACATTCACAGTATACAAGGGTTGCTCCACAGCGGATGGCAGAGACCAGCAGTTTAATCTTATGATCTTGACCTCTGGTGCTCTCTTCAGGGTGTCCTATCTGGGGGTTTCATGGTGATGGGGCTGGTGCAACATTTCCCAGGAAGAGATACCTGGATAAATTTCTGACCTGTGTGTCATCCCCTATTGTTTCCCAGGTGACTACAACACACACAACGGGCCTTCCACACCAGCGAAAGAGGACGACACAGACAGGCCCCATCGGGCCCCAGAGGGGAAGCTACGCGGCCGGTCAAAGAGGAGTAGTGACCCCTCCCCAGCAGGGGACAATGAGATTGAGGTAACCAGGGGGTGTCTAATAGGGGTAGAAGCTGATTTCTGTGTGTAGGCTGAGTCACTGCTGAGGGCTGAGGCTCTCCAAGCTTTTGGTCAGCTGCATTTTGTAAGCACAGCTCAGTGACAGCTCCACTACCCTGAGAGGCCCTGGCAAGGAACATGATGAAAAGACAGGTGCTGGGTCCCATACGAGACCAAGTGGCGAAACGTGCGGGCAGTTTAGAACGTCTGATTTGTCCCAACCTGGGGCAGAGTTTGTGAGGAGGCTGCAACAAGCAAGTGGAGCCAATCAGTGATCTCCAGGTTCAATGAGAGGTTCTATCTCAAAAAAAAAAAAGTAGAGAGACAGCCAAGGAAGACATTGGACTTTGATATCTGGCCTCCACATGCATGGACACATGTCTACACGCGCGCTCGCACACATACACACACACATACACACACAGAGAGAGAGAGAGAGAGAGAGAGAGAGAGAGAGAGAGAGAGAGAGAGAGAGAGAGAGAGAGAGAGAGAGAGAGAGAAAGAGAGCCAAGGATTAAAGAAATGCAAACCCAGGGAACTACCAGGAAGCTTTCAGGTGCCGTCCTACCAAAGAGCAGTCTGTTTGAGAACCCAGCACCATTTGACCCAAAGTTAGACTCCATGCCCAGCTTAAGTGTTACAAGTGTCCCTTGATTGATGCCCTATGGGGTGGGACAAGGATGCCCTTGTCAGAAGACCTGAGGGGACCAGGCCAGGGGCACCCTTACTGAGGCACCTGGCACCACCCTTACTGAGGCACCTGGCACCACCCTTACTGAGGCACCTGGCACCACCCTTACTGAGGCACCTGGCACCACCTGTCCCCCTGATGCAACTTTAGCAGTGGCCCTGGCTTTGCTGTTTCACCCTGGAAATACTGTCCTGTGGACGCCACTCTTACCCTTTCTGTTAGTCATCAACAACTTAACACATTCTAGGACTCTGCCAGGGAGAGTTGCCCTGCTGAAAGGAATGCCCTCAGCCTGGGCCCTCAGGACCCACGCCCTTCACTTTGAGATGGGCTCTCACTTGTGCTTCCCAAGATGGTCTCAAAGTCCTGAGTTCAAGCCATCCTCCTTCCTCAGCCTCCCAAATAGCTTCAAGTCCAAAGGAATGCTACACATATATCCAGCTGTATAACCCAGGCTGGCTGGTGATCCTCCTGCTTCAGCTTGCCAGTTCGTGTACAATAAATACCCTACTTCTATTCTTTCTTTGAGCTGGGTGGGGCTTGCGACAGGGCCCTGCTACATAGTCCAGGCTGATCTCAAGCTTCAAATCCACCTCCACCTCCCTGCTTCAGGGATTAGAGCTGGGATTACACTGTGTCTGGTTTCCCCTCTGTCCTGAAGCTTCCTTTCTCACTGAACTGACATCCTTACATTTCCTTCAGTGTGTTTGGGTCTTTTCAAAAAGGGCCCTGTTGTCTGTGGCCTGCCTCCCTCCTGCATTCCTGCGTGGCTCCACCAGCTTGAAAACGCGTAGAGTGACAAGGCCTTAAAGCTCCCTCTGGGGAACTCCGCAGTCACCTGCCATAGCTTCTGCCCTTGATGGGAACAGTGGGAATGGAGAGACAGTCTTCCATGACACTGAAGAGGGGGTGGGAGGCTCGAGGCATGGAAATGGAGGCTCACAGGGCAGTATTATTCTGGAAACACCTGCTTCTCCCCCTAAAGTACCAGCGCGCGTAAGAATGGGCACCAAGGTGTGAGCAGCGCTTTCCTCCGGAGTTTAATGTCAGCAGGCGCGCTCACACCTCCTAAGTCTTTGGCAGTTTCATAAATGACAGAAGCTCGGGAGAGAAGCCTGTGTTGAGGTGGCAGTTCTGGGATGTGTTAGCTGAAACCCTTGGACTACAGGGGCCAGGAACCAGCTTGAGCTGGCTGGCATGCAAAAGCAGAATTTCTTTGAAGGATACAGAGCCTTCTTAGAACTCAAAGGTAGAGGACAGGACAATGGAGCATTGGAGAGGCGGTAAGATCAGCCAGGGAATTGGACAAGGAAACGGGGTTGGGCCTCTCTCCTCACGTGTGTATGAGCTAAAAGCCCCACACTGTGCCTTTTCAACGGCCCTGTCCCATACAGTGCTCCTCAGACCACTCCAACCTCTCCCTGCTGTCACTAAAGCCAAGTCCTAGGGAAGTGTTGGGCCCATCTCCATCTGCAATGGGCTTTCTCTTCCCCTCAGGCTGCCTGCCTACTAACAGGCCCCAAAGATGTGACTACAGCTTCCTTTGTTTAAATCTCAGATCTGCCTGAGGTGGTTAGGAATCCACTTAGGGGCAAGCTGTAGTGGCCATAGATAGGGAGCTGCAAAATGTCGCAGGGGTTCATCCACTAGGACTCCAGGCTGGGGTCAGTGAGGTGAGGAGAAGGGGTGTGGGGCTGCTTGATAGAGGACTCAGTGGGTAAGTTAATAAAGCCTATATGGATCTGAAGACACTCACAAATTGCTTTTTAATTCCACAATTAAAACTTCTAAGTTAAACTGATTCAAGGCATTGAGTTCAAATGAATCAGGATTGGCATATTTGAACTTCAAAAAGCCCCTTCAAAAGTTATAGTTTCCTAATTTTTTTTCACATGACCTATATGGCCCATAATAAGAAATATACTCAGGATTGAGGAAATGGCTCAGTGGATTTTTTTTTTTTTTTTGGTTTTTCGAGACAGGGTTTCTCTGTGGCTTTGGAGGCTGTCCTGGAGCTAGCTCTTGTAGACCAGGCTGGCCTCGAACTCACAGAGATCCACCTGCCTCTGCCTCCCAAGTGCTGGGATTAAAGGCGCGCGCCACCAACGCCCGGCCGGCTCAGTGGATTTTGTACTTTGTTTTCCTGTTACTGTAATAAACATGATGACCGCCAGGCGGTAGTGGCGCACGCCTTTAATCCCAGCACTTGGGAGGCAGAGGCAGGTGGATCTCTGTGAGTTCGAGGCCAGACTGGTCTACAAATTGAGTTCCAGGACAGCCAGGACTACACAGACTGTCTCAAAAATAAAACAACAACAATAGTAATAATAATATAAACATGGTGATCAAGAGAAACTTAGGGGAGGAAAGAGTTTATTTGGTTTAGACTCCATGCCAGAGTCCATCACTGGAGGAAGTCAGGACAGGAACTCAAAGCAGGAACCAGGGGGTTAGAAACTATGGAGGAATACTACTTACTGGCTTGTTCATTTGCCCATGCTCAGCTAGCTTTCTATATAAGAAAGCTCTCCTGCATAGGGATGGTGCCGCCCATTGTGGGCTGGGCCCTCCTATGTCAATCTTCAATCAAGACAATCTCTCATGGAAATGTCCAGAGGCCAGTCTCATAAAAGACTTCAGCTGAGGTCCCCTCTTATGTTGGATCAATCTGAGGATAAAAATTAACCAGGATAGAAGGTGCAGTGCTCAGTTTGCAAGCATGAGGACCTGAGTTCGGATCTCCAGCATCCATTTAAAGACCTGAGCATGGCAGGCACTTTTATAACCCTAGTGCTGGAAGACCCAGGGGTTTGATGACCAGTCAGCCTGGCCAATCAGTAAGCTCCAGGTTCAGTGAGAGATCCTGTCTCAAAAAACGAGGCAGGGAGTGATAGAGGAAGATGCCTGGTGTTGACCTCAGCCTCTATATGTGTGTGCATCTGCATATACACACGCAAAAGTGAGTGGGGAAGTCAAATCTTCAAGGACCGGGCCAGCAAAGCATCAGACCTATTATATATGACTCAGCACCAGAGCATAGTGAAGGGATCATGTCAATGGGAGGAGGAACATTGTTTTCTACGAAGAATTCTGTACCCAGAGAAAATATAAATAATAGGTTTACTAGAATTTGGGAAGGTTACTCTCCAGACATGCCTTCAGAAGACAAGACTTAAGGATACACTCAGGTAAAACAAGGCAGAAAAGTCAAGAAAGGGGCAGACTTAGAGTCCAGAGAAGAGTGGCTCCAACTCAGAAACGCATGGGATGGAATTCTGAGGATTGCGCTCTCAGGAAGCCCAGGGGTGATCCAGTCCACACTGCCCATCCCCATGCCTGAGGACACTGCTCTCAGGACAAGGGATATGACTGAATTTGACATGATAGTGAAGGCACATTTCAACAATAAAGAGAAAATCAAAGCAATGAATAAGCCCCAGCAGGAACAGCGAGTTCTACGAGCAGGTGTGACTCATCTGGGAACACACTGAGATTATGTGAGTCAGGATGCCTGTAGGAGAATGTAAGTTGGACAGGAGACACATGACCTTGATGGCAGGTGTGTTCTCCTCAGAGTGGATCGGGAGCTATGAGGTTGGATAGACATGTTACTTGTCTCAACAGTGAACAATAATCAACAATGTAAATAACTCCTAGTTATGGACATTTAAAATCAATGAATTAGGGCCCAGAGGATAGCTCAGTGAGAAAAGGCACTTGCCTACAAGACTAATGCTGTGAGTCAGATCCCTAAAACCACATAGAGACAGGAGAGAACTGACTCCACAAAGTTCTCCTCTGCCCTACACGCACACACACACACACACACACACACAACCATTCATATACAACAAGTCTTTTTAAAAATCCACGTGTAGAAGACAATGTATAGTTATGAAACTAAGCGTGCAGACTAATTTGCTCACACTAACAATGGAAAAGTAAAGCCAATGGCAATTCAGAACAGAGACGGGTGAGGACATCAACACGCTCCTCTTGCCCACTTAGTCCTCTGTCTTAGACCAGGGAAGAAATGCAGAGGTTCCATTTGCAGAAATGGAAAATTCTGACGGAGTTAAAAGAAATTGTCAAATGTTGGCAAGTCCATGAATTGCAGAGTCAAGCTTGCTGCAAACAGAAATAGCTTCCGTGAACAGTCACTTGGTAGTGTCTCACATTGTCGAGCGAGTCCTAAGGTTTCTTCGAGCATTGGTTTGGCCTGAATGCCTCCCTTTTTTATTTTTTATGTGAAAACCTCTAGGTTCCAGCACGGGTGGGGCTGGTAGGAGTCCAGAAATTGGCCGTGACAATGCACTTGACACAGGTGGGGCTCAGTGGCAGCTCTGGGCACAGTGTGGGCCACCTGTTTTATAACTTAATGTGTCTCAAGACTTCTCCCAGAAGGTTAGGGTCTGCAGAGGACACGTCACACATAGGCGACTCCATCTCTTCTCCTTTTCTGTCACAGCGGGTGTTCGTCTGGGACCTGGACGAGACGATCATCATTTTCCACTCCCTGCTCACAGGGACTTTTGCATCCAGATATGGGAAGGTAAGGATTCATTTTGCCATTCTCTTTTTTCCTAAAAAAATCACATTTATATATTTATTTGCTTATTCTGTATGTACCTGTGGGTCTGGATCTGGGTGTGAACATGTGTGGTGGCCCTGTAAGGATGTGAAGGTCCGAGAACAACTTGAGGAAATCAGTTCTCACTTTCCACCATGTGAGTCCCGGAGATGGAACCCACCCATGTCATCAGCCTTGGCAGCAAGCTCCTTCACCCACTCAGCCAACCTGCTGGCTGGACCTTTTCGTTCTTTCCAGATGTGACTGTGTGCCCAGGCTGCTTGTCCTGGGAATCATGGGGACTGCTCACAAGAAACATATCAACCTCAAACTGCCCCTCTGGGTCAGCCCGGGGTTGACACACGAGGATATGTTCCCTCGGCGTGTGAGAACTTCGCCAGTTTTCTATCTGCCATCTCACACACATTTGCTTCCAACGCTTGAAGTCGCCAGTGTCTATAATCACTGAAGTCCTTGGGGCTCTGCTTCCCTTAAAGCGGAGAGGTACACCATAGCCAGACGCATAGTACGCTGGGAAATGGGGCGGAGTACTTTCCTACTCCCCGGTTATCTGGGGTGTGGCACGGGCGTGTGAGGCCAGCGGTTGACAGTGGGTGTCCTCTTGTTTCTCCCCACAGTTTTTGAGGCGGGGTCTCTCAGTGAAAGTGGAACTCACTGACTTGGTAAGGTTGACTGGCCAGCAAGCCCCAGGACCCTGTCTCTGCTCCCCCAGCTCTAGGGTCTCAGGTGCACACCACTGTGCCTGACTTTTTACACAGATGCCTGGGATCTGGGCTCAGGTCCTCGTGCTTCTGCGGAAGCATTCCAGGGACTGAGCCGTCTCCATAGCCTGCTGTGGACTTACAAATCACAGGTGAATCATCTCTTCAGGGCAGTTTGTAGGGGTTGAATGTGGTGCCTACGAGGAAAACATAGTGGCCGTCTGCTCAGAGGTGAGAGCCCAGGGGCAGCTGCTTCCAGCATGGGTGGGGAAAGAGACTCACCAGGCCTGCGAAACACTTTTGTTTCTGCTTGTGTGCTGGACTTGACATCAGCTCATGGCTTTCCCAGCTGCTTGCGGTTTTTATGGCGGCTATAACAAGCTGAGGTGTGATTAACAGGGTAGATTTATTGTCTGCCACAATGCTGTGCCGGATATAAAAATGGTGTCGGGGGCGCAGAAATCTCTCACCCATAGACACGCCATTAATATGTGTGGTAGGGACAGCGGCATACATTCTCAGACTCTGTGAAGCTTACTTAAGTGGGTGCCAGCAACAAGAGTGGCTGCAAACATTAGGAGCTCAGCAGTCACAGCGAACACACACTGTCCCCTAGGGCCACAACTAGAGGTACACTGTCCCCTAGGACTATTGTGTGTCACACACTGTTTTGTGGCATCCATCCAGTTCTCTCTCTGTGTCTCTGTCTCTGTCTCTCTGTCTCTCTCTCTCTCTTTCTCCCTCCCCCCACCCTCCCATACACACATACATCTCTCTCTCTCTCTCCTATACACACACACAGAGGCACACACTGGATGTATGTTGGATGGGACTCAATGAGCCCAGGAGAAGCTACATGTGTCCCCTTGGCATCTTAAGCTACACGGGGAGGCCCCTCAAGGAGAGGACCCACCTACGACCCCGTTCTGTGTCCAATGGCCTTGGCCCATGTCATTCCTCAATGCCAACCCCAGTGTCACTCCCTCGACCAAGTCACCTCCCTCAGCTGGGCCTCCTAGCTGATCCCCCAGCCAGCCTCTGTCCCAGCCTCCCAAGCAGCTGTGGTGGCAGATGTGTGCTGCCAGCCTGGTTAGTGTCACTTTCCCTACCGGCTCTCTCCTAGCCACGCGCACCCGCGCATCTCTCCCTAGAGAAGCGGTATGCACGTCTGCGGTGACTCCGCTCTTCGAGCATACCTCCTTTGTGGGCACAGAACTCTGAGGACAAGGGACCATGGACATTTCTCAACCTCCCAGCCCAGCATGGTTCAGGGGAGGATTTGTTACTCAGTGAGCATTTACTGACTGAGCAAGTCGGGGCGATGTCCTAGGATGCCTGCCCTCTGGGGATCAGGACTTGCGTTTCTGCCTTGTTTGTTGCTTCATACTCAGCCACAGAACACAGCCTCCCACTTAGCAGGCATCAAGTAATTGTTTGCAGGAAGAAGGGAGGGAGGAGAGGAGAGGAGAGAGGAAGGGAGGAAGGAGGAAGTAGAAAAAGCAGGAAGATAGTGTCAAAGCAGAAATTCCTAGCTGGTGGCCACTAGCCAAACTCAGCCTGCAGATATTTTTGTTTGGCCTCTAGAGTATTTTTTTTAAATGTGAGTTTATCGCCAACATTTAAAAATCAGGCAATTGCACAGAGCAGAACAATCCAGATTTCCAGCCCTTCTTAAAAAATGAGGGAATCTGGCAAGCCAGCACTCCCCTGTGACAGCAATCAGCAGGAACCCAGCAGCACTGCCCTTAGGGACACGTGTTCTCCAGGCCCATGGCCCCACCTGCCCTGCTTCTTCCAGCAATGGGACTCTCTAGCCCCTTGGGGATCTGAGTTTCAGGGCCCTAGAACTACCAGGCTGTAGGAGGTCAGAGCTGGAAGGACCCCAAAACCACTATATGCAACCAGTCTCCACCATTTGAAGGCGAAAATGAGGCTCAGAGGAAGAGATGGAGCCCGCCCAGGCTCAGGTTCCTCTGCCTTCTTGTGTAATCTCTGAATGTCCTCATCCCTCTTCCAGAGCCGTCCTTGGCCTCCCCCAGCTCCCTATAAGGTAAAAAATGGGGATTTTCATTTGCTAATTCTGGCAGTCCTGAATTTAAGAGCCTTGAAATAGTAAGGTGACTACTAATTTCTCATGCATAAGCACACACACACACACACATACATGTGCATGCACACACATATACACATGTACACACGCATGTGCACACACACCCTTCATAGTCCAGGCAAAGGCAGCTCAAGCTGGGCCAGCCCCAGGGATGGAAGCTGCTCCAGGCTTGTTCTCTGCCATCCCAGGAACGTTACCGTCATCGCCAAGATTATTCACAGCTCACCTCACATCTTCATTCCGGCCAAGAAGAAGGGGGAACATGAAGAGGGAAGCCACTCTTTCCTGTCCTTTTCTTTCCTTTTCCCCTTTCCTTTCTTTTTCTTTTCTTTTGTTCTTGTTGTCATTGTTAAATTTCATGTGAATGGATGTTTTGCTTGAATGTGTGTCTGTGCACCACGCATACCCGGTGCACATGGAGGCCAGAAGAGGGTGTTGGATATCATGGAGTTAGATATAGCTGTGAATTACTCTGTGCGGGCTGGAAATTGCTGAGCCATCTCTCCAGCCTCTTTTCCTTTGTCCCTCTCTTTTAAGGGCCAGACCCAGAAGTTACGCATATCACTTCTTTCACATCTCATTGGCTGAAACTTTGTCACATGACCATACCTAGCTGCAAGGGAGTCAAGGCAAAATGGTCTTTCTCTGAGGCAATCACATGCCCAGTTAAAATGCAGGGGTTCTGTTGCTCCGAAGAGGAGACAGGAGAAGAGGGAGTGGAAGACAGGTACTGCCCAGCACACAGTTATTCCCACGATGGGATAACTGGATTTGTGAGTCTGAGCTCTAGAGAGAAGTCCAAGCTACAACTCTAAGCCAGAAAGTTGGAGAAGTGGGAACAGCCAACATGAGCATAGCCTTGAGCCCACTTTGCAGACAGAGTAACCAAGACCCAGGAGGCAGTGCAGTTGGGATATTCATAACAAGTAGAACCCAAGGCCTCCACTTCCAGCCCACCGTTCTGTGCTTTCCCAGCTGTAGTCATGGCACCCCCTCCCACCAGCTGAGAGCAAGCAGAGCTCTGGGCTTGAAGCATACGCCAAGTGTGCAGCACAGGAAGCTGATCAAATCACAATGCCTAAACCATCCAGGGAGCAGCAGCCTCAGCCCACCCTCAGCCGACTTCTCCACAGAGAATTGATTCCTGTTGGCAATCCCAACTGAAAAAGAGAGTTTCTGCTCCCCAAACCCCAGGGCGACGCTTTCCCACACTGGCTCCCATGCCCATCCCAGCCTCTGCACTTCACCTGCCTAGGCTAGACCCGGAGCCCAACCCTGGTATGGAAGAAATGGAGAACAGACCCTCCTAACCCCAGCCAAGTGGACTGAGGGGAAGAGGGCTGGGCTCCCCCACAAAGGAACCTGAAGCACCCTTTCTGGAAGGGTGGAAGCCCTCAAATACTTGTGAGTCTGGAGACCAAAACCCTCAGGGCACCCATGCCAAGCACCCACGCCTCTGTTCACTCAACACCCAGCCTGTTGAGTGGCACACAGAAGCAGGGCTCATGTCTGTCAGCCCCAGCCAGAGGAGGGATCCCTGTTTACTTGGGGAACAGAGACCAGGGCTAAAAGACTAAGGAATGATCCAAAACAGGGTGTTTGTGTTTTAAAACAGAAACTGGGCCGCCTTCCTGATCCTAATCAGGGGGCTGCTGAGAGCAGCTGTCACCTCTCGTTTCTGTGCCAATCCCTCCTCCCCAGGGTGCAGCCCCTCCCATCCCCCACCCCATCCCCCCACCCCCAGAGCCCTGCAGTAGCTGCCTCCCACATCTTGTGGACCAATCAGATATGCCCCAGTGGTGACCCTCCCTCCTAAGCCTCCTGCCCACTCTTCTCTGAACCCTGCTTTCCCTGCTGGGATTAGAACAGGTGGAAGGTGGCTGTGCCTTTGCCTGGAGCCAGGGTGACATTTGAGGAGAGGCGTGTTAGCCGGCTTTCCTCCCACACTCCCTCCATGCCTTGCCTTCCAGGAGCTCCATACAGGGTGGAACTTACCTCTGGGACAGTGGCTCCAGCTTGCACCGTTACTGAGCAGTGCCTTGTCTAGCTAGGTTCAGTGTGTTGTTTAGTATAAATGACCATCTCGGTATACACCGCTGTTTATCCCCAGAGTTGAAAGAGCAGAGCCGTGGTCGGTCTCATTTTTAAAGTTTTGTTACATTACTTTAGTATGTGAGTATGCGTGTATGTGTGCGTGCGTGCACATGCCACGGTGTTCATGTGGAGGTCAGAGGACAGCTTGCAGGAGTCGGTTCTCTCCTTCCACTGTGTGGGTCCTGAGGATCAAACTCCGGTGTGTGTGTGTGTGTGTGTGTGTGTGTGTGTGTGTGTGTGTGTGTGTGTGTGTGTGTGTGACAACTGCTGATATACAGGCCTATTTGGGCCTGTCCGTCCTGCTCCACTGTTCTGTGTGTCTGTCTCCATCCTGTACCACACGGTTCTGTGTGCATCACCTCTACGGTCAGTTCTGAAAGGGGGAACTGAAGTTCCGTCTTGACCTCTGTGACTGGCACCTCCGTCGGGTCACGTGGCTACACAGGGCTTTGCACATGTTGTCTTATCATGCTTCCCTTTATGCAGGATCCTGCCCAAATGTTCCCTCATAAAGAAGCCTCGCTGCCCCCTGTCACAGTTAGTGCTTATTATTAATTTTCTGTCCCACCCCCACCCGGCAGCCAGAGCACATGAATGCAAACTCTGATAGCAGACCATGGCAGGGTTATGTTACTGTGGGTCACCCGCCCTGCCAGGTGGCTCCAGGTTCTTGGTGCCTCAGTCAAAGACCTAAAAGGGCACAGATCCCGTGTGGCAGGGGGACTTTTCAGGAGAAGCATCGGGGCAGATCAGAGGGTTCAAGCAGGCTCTTGAACCAGAGTACTCAACGGCCAGGTGTTGTCCTGCTTTCCTCTGTGTGTGTGTGTGTGTGTGTGTATGTGTGTGTGTGTGTGTGTGTGTGTTGGGGGGGTGTCTAGGAGGAGGAGCTGGTTGCTAAGGGGTGTAGAGCCACAGGTTTTCTGCTTTGATTGACAGACTTGGATCATGTCTTTGCTCACTGCACACGCCCCTCCCTATCATGCATCTGATTTTAGCTATGTTATTTACCAGTTCTTCAGTATAGACATCAGACGGTAAATAAGTGTTTGCCCTAAAGCTTCACTCGGAGGGTATGGTATGCCTTATTGTTCACATGCCCAGAGCTCATTCAGGCCAAATCAAGCCCCTGCCTCCCCCATGCACACATGTTCTGGAATGCATGTCCAGGGGAAACACAAAAGGGGAGTCACCAGACCCACAAGATGGCTCAACAGGTAAAAGTGCTTGAGGATCTGACACTGGAAAGTTTATTTCCAAAGTTAACCTCTGACCTTCCTAGAGACGCTGTAGCAGCATATGTGTGGCATCGACACACAGACCTAATAGTAAAAAATAAAATAAGTTATTCCAGAAGGGGGGTTACCAAGTGGCTCCTAAGGAAGGGCTAGATAATTCTATTGTTAAGAGATGACTGTGTATACAGCCCAAGTCAAGTGGAGTCCCAGATCACTGAGCTATTCCCTTGCCTGCCTCTGTTAGGTACCTCAGGCATAAAACCAAACTGTGCCAAAACTTGAGACATGAATATCAGCCAGATTTTAATACAATATTTGAAAAATTCAAATCAATACCAAAACTCAACAATGAAAGAAAATCAGCATTTGAATAAGGGTAACTAGTTTTAATTCAGGTCACAACCTTGGCCTGATCCCCAGTGGCCATTAAGTCTCTACAGGGCAGATTTACCAGTGTGACAACAGGAACAGGCCTTATAGGGAGTCCTAGTGGGTTGGTGTGTGTGTGTGTGTGTGTGTGTGTGTGTGTGTGTGTGTGTGTGTGTGTGTACATGTGTGTTCACGTTGGGGAGTGCATGTCGAGTTCAGAGGATGATGTCAGATGTCCTCCATGGTTCCCTTGAGACAGGGTCTCTCACTGAACCTGGAGACAGGCTAGCAGCAAGCAAGTCACAATGATCCTCCTGTCTCCAACCCCCACAAGTGTATGCGTGGCCACGCCCAGTGTTTTGTGTGGATTCTGAGGACGGAACTCAGGTCCTCCCGGGTGTGTGGTAAGCTCTCTTTCCCCAGCCTCCTCCACAGCCCCTGATATAGTTGTGTTTTTACCGTGCAGATTTCATTAATGTTTTCCACTTGATCCAAAGTACAGAGAAATGTTTATTAAATATGGGGGGGTCAGTTTTCTTCCGCCTTGGGCTGGACAGGAGCACTGTCCAAGCTGCAGTCTGGGACTAAATCAGAGCCTGGCAGGCAGTGAGATCTGGAAGTGTCCTCTGGGACCGTGAGTGTTGACGAGGAGACATTTAAAGTGTCTGGAGCAGAAAGAGTTCTTGGCCCTCGCTTCAGTTTTCTTTTACCTTAGTACAATTTAACATCAGAGTCAAGCCCATGTTTTCCTTTGTCTTCACCAGCCTTCCCCAGACTGGATCAGGTGCCCCGAGTGTCAGCCCCAAGGACCTGGGTGAGGGCTTGCTTGCTACAGCCCTCAGCTGCTCAGGGTGCCACTGGGGTGTGTCCTGTTCCTGTCCTAGACCTTCATGGTGAGGCAGGCCTGCCTCACCCCCTGCCAGACTGTCCCTCTGGTGGGCTTAGCTCCTACATGGGCCAGCGGGGTGAGCACCTCACAGGAACCTCAGTGCTCATGGAGTAGGGAGGTCAGGGGTCCTCAGAACTCTCTCCTCCTCAGTGGGTTTGAGCTTTGGGAAACCAGGCCAGGAACCAGCACTGCTGATTGGTCCTTTATCCCCAAACTTCCTATCTGTTCCTTTATGTGGGGACAGCTGGAAGGAAAGAGCAAAGGGGACTCACAGGGTCACTCCCATTCTGTCATGTCATTGTGGGAGGGAACAGCAAGGCCTGTGGGTTAAACAGAGAGGCAGCTGACATTGTTGCTGTATACTAAGACTCCGCCCCATGATGCCCCAAGTGTGCTGCCCAGGAGCCCAGCCAACATCCACAGCTCAGCTCTGCAAGTGCCCAGCCCCTCCTGCAGTGTCCAACATTGGGAATGCAGCAGGGAGCCAAGGCCAGGAAAAACATACGTCTTTGAGGAGAAGACAATAAATGAGATTAATTCAGAAATACAGAGAATAGCTATGGTCATACACATCTGTGGTCCTAGTGTTAGGAGGCTGAGGCAGGAGGATCACCAACTTGAAGCCAGCCTGGGCTACACAGACAGAGCCTGTATCAGAAAGAAGGGTATAGGGACAGAGAGAGAGAAGAAAGGGAGGGAGAGAGAGAAGAAAGCAGTGAGAGAGAGAAGGGAGGGAGGGAGAGAAGAAGAAGAAAAGAAAGAAAGGGAAGGGAAGAGAGAGAGAGCATAAAGACGTAGAGGAGAGCAGGAGTACCACAGGGACGGGGGCTCAAATCCAATTTTGGGAAAGGCCGCCTTACAGGGAAGCTGCGTTTGAACATAAACCAGGAAAGGAGGTGGAGAAATGGATGCCCCATAGAAAAGCAGGGGCCTGGCATGTGCTAAGGTCCTGTGGCAGGAAGTCTCCCAGGTGAGTGTGGAAAGCAGCAGAGAGGCCAGTGAGGCTGTGGCAAGGCAGGAGTTAGGGACAGTAGCTTCTGCTGTGAAACAGGAGCCCCGGGGTCGGGGACAGAGGAAAAGCTGGCCGCATTCTCTTTCTGAGGCCCTGGCTGCTCCCCAGGGAGGCATAGTCGGAATTGGGGAGAGCCTCCAGAAGTGGGTGCTGCGGTCCAGCTGAAAGAGACTGTTCATGAGCCGTGATGGTGCGTAGCTTTAATCCTGGCAGAGGCAGAGGCAGAGGCAGGAGGGTCTCATGAGCTGGGCCGTGACGGTGCGTAGCTTTAATCCCAGCAGAGGCAGAGGCAGGAGGGTCTCTTAGTTTGAGGCCAGCCTGGTGTACAAAGGGAGTTCCAGGACAGCCAGGGCTGTTACACTGAGAAACCCAGTCTTGGAAGGAAGGAAACGCTGGCCACTTTAGGAGGTCGAGGGGGAGGAGAGGCGTGGCAGGCTGGATCTCTTTTGACGCAGAACTGACCGCAGATACAGAAGTGAGGCAGGGGCCGTGGAGACGGCTGTCAATACAAAGTGTGCTGTGAGCACGAGGTACCAAGTTCAGTCCCCAAAACCCACAGTGACACACTTGTAATCCAGCATTAGGGAGGTGGAGACACGCCTACACACACACAGAAACACACACACCACACACACAGAAACACACACACACAGAAACACACACACACCACACACACAGAAACACACACACACAGAAACACACACAGAAACACATACACACCACACACACAGAAACACACACACACCACACACACAGAAACACACACACACCACACACACAGAAACACACACACACCACACACACAGAAACACACACACACCACACACACAGAAACACACACACACAGAAACACACACAGAAACACACACACACCACACACATATACAAATATATACAAATGAACATACACACATATACCACACACACATACACACATATACACAGCGTGCCTCGTGCACACAGACACATATGCAAATATAGACACATATGCAAATATACACACATACACCACGCACACACTAGAAATTTTAAAAATAAAAATGATCATGTTACTGTTCTGACATTGCTAAGGTTCGAATGAGAAGGGCCCTGCAGACAGTTAGTTCATCCCAAGGCCCTTGGATTGAATCCCTACCCCCACCACCTCAAGACACAGCTGCCTCTCAGGCATCTAGATCTTTCCATTCTCTAACAAACACCAGCCAAAGTGCTTAAGGACCGCTGTTTATTTTATTTCTTTAATGAGAAAACCTTCGCGTTCCTCCGGAGTTCAGCTGTGTTTATTTACATTGTGCTGGGCTCTGGGCCTGCAACAGCCTGAGGCCTGGCAGGCTGAGGGAGCCCCAGCCCCGGCAACACACAGTCCTTAGAACTCTATAAAGTGGATTCTCAAAATAAATACTGCCTAATTCGCTCGGCAGAGGTGGATTAAGTCAAGATGAATACAATTTAGAAAGGATTTGCTGAGGAAGTGGGAGATTTTGTTCCCCCACTGGGGTTGAGCTCACATCGGAGTCTTCTCTCCACCTCCAGACTCCGGCAGTTAAAGCTATTTGGTTCTTGGGACCAAACAACTTGGATAGGTACTTCCAGCCCACGATTATTTTGTTTGTGGTATGAGGTGGCTTCCCTGGTCACTTCACCCATCCTGTAAGGCACGGAAAACAGGCATCTGCTGTTTTGCTGGGGGTGGACCAGGAGGCAGCCAGAGAAGTTTGAGAGATGTCATGCAGGTGAATGACAAGTCACTGGGCCTCCGGCAGGGGGCGGTACCCTTTGTCATCTTAATCCCCTTAAAATGGCTAACCCCCAAGCAGGAGCCTAAATGCCGAGGGCCTGTGCTTACGCGTCTTCTTGGCGTTAAAGGGTCCCATTCAACAGAAAATAGAGGTTTTGGTGACGGCTAGGGGTTATCTGGAGAGTGTTCATTACCGTCTTTCTTTGAAGACACCAGGGCTTGGAGAAACTGTCTCCTTGTGGAATCCCCCAGCTTGGGTTGAGGGGATTGGGGACTAGTTAAAGGCTGCCTGCCCCCAGTGCCAGCCCTGTCCCTGCCCCCCGCCCACCCGCTGGAGGGGGCCTGAGAGGAAGAGAAAGCTTTCCCTCACCTCTGAAAACCTAAGAGAACTCACTTGGGTTGAGGCGAGAGGATTTTTTTTTTTTTGTTCTCTAAATACAGGGGCAGAAAGGCTCAGGTGCCCCGGAAACCGAAACAATGCAAGGGCTTTTCCTTTTCAAGTTGAGAGGGTGCCCCCGACACCCCCCCCCCAGCGCCCACCTGTGCGTCATGCCATTTAGTCTCCAACAATAGGGGTTTTGAGCGTGTCCAAGTGTTGCTGGGATTCCCGGAGCCTCCGGTGCTGAAGTGCGGCTGCGTGAGTGGCAGGAGGCATCAGCGCAGTCGCTGTGGGGGCACTGACACTGCAGTGGAATGTGTCCCTCCCCGAGCCAGCTTCCTGTGTCCCCGCTGAGTTTATGGACCTGGGCCCTCTTTAATGGCAGGAGGCAGAGTTCAGGGAGGAAACTGCCCCTAGGACCTTATTCTAAGTAAGAACACAGAGCTAAAGGATCCCTCTGGGGACACAAGCAGGTTCCCAAACAGGACCGCCAAGTGGTGGAGCATCATCCGGTCATAGAAGCGGGTTACACGGGACAGCGTGGAAGAAACCTAAACGCGTGGGAGAAGAGAGATCATAAGTGGAGTAGAGGGAGTGGCCCCAGATGGGCGTGTCCAAGGAGCTAGGAGGTGAACTGGTGGTAACCTGGGGTAAAGGGTAATAGGAAACCACTGTTTTGTGGGGATGCAGGTTGGTTTTTTTGTTTCTGGTGAAGAAAACTTTGGGAAGTAGATGGAGATGGTAGCTACCCTTGAATTACGTGCTCAAAAAAAGAAAAGAAAGAGAGAAAGAAAGAAAGGAAGAAAGAAAGAAAGAAAGAAAGAAAGAAAGAAAGAAAGAAAGAAAGAAAGAAAGAAAGAAAGAAAGAAAGAAAGAAAGAAAAAGGTTGGGGACTGGAGAGTTGGTTCAGTGGTTAAGAGCACTGACTGCTCTTGCAGAGAACCTGGTTCAGTTCCCAACACCCACATGGTGGCTTGTGGAACTCCATTTTCAGGGTATCTGACTTCCTTGGATATCAGGCAAACATGTGGTACACAGACTTGCACCCAGGCAAAACACCCGTATTCATCACGCAAAGCAAAGGTTCTTCACGTGTGCAGGGTCTCTCCAGCTCACCATACCTCCCAGCCCTGACTCCAAGGTCAGGAGCTTGTGCTGTCAACCTTTTCCATTCTGTGTACCAAGTGCTGCCCGCCAGCTGTCTTTGTAAGTGAAGCTCTGTTGATGCACAGCGCTCCCATGCGCTTACACGCTACCCATGGCTGCTCTCGTTCTGCAGCAGGAAGGCTGAGGAATTAGAGTCGAGGCCACACAGAACACGGAGCCTAGGCTACCTGCTTTGTATAGAAAAAGTCCACCCTCTTGTGGTCAGTGTGTAGGCTCTGCAACCAGCTGGCTCAAGTTCAAAGCCAGCCTCATTCCCTAGCTGTATCTCACAATTGCTTGATCTCTCTGTGCCTCAGTTTCCACCTGTGGAATACAGTTGTGATATCAGCAGCACTTACCTCCTGGGGTCAAGGTTGGGATGTTCGCATTAACATGCCATGGGTATTTACAAGGGCTCACCTCTGTGGTAGTAATTGAATGCAGTGTCTTAACAGATTGAGTCTTAAACCACACGTGGTAGTGAACACCTGTAATCCCAGCACTCAGGAGGCTAAAGCAAGGGAGGTTGGGGTTCGAGGCCAACCAGACCTTGTATCCAAAAAAAAAAAAAGTAAAAAAGAGAAAAAGAAAAAAGTGAATCTTAAGAATCAAATAGGCTGTAAAAGTACTCAGCAGGGTGGCTATAACGGGACAATAACCACAGATGGTACACAAATCATACATGTGGTTGTGTTTCAATAAAACTTTACTAATGGTCAGAAAAGGAAGTGAATCTTTAGAAGCAGGCTGCTGGAGCCAGGAGTGCTGGTTCTGCCTGTAGTCCTAATACCAGGGATACTGGGGCTGGAGGTGTCCCTCTAGGTTGGAGGTCAGTCTAGGATACACAACAAACTCTTGTCTCAAAAAAATAAAAAGTGCAAGCCTTTAATCCCAGCACTTGGGAGGCAGAGACAAGCAGACCTCTGTGAGTTCCGGGACAGCCAGAGGTGTTACACAACCAAAATTAATTAACTAATTAGTTAATTAATTAATGAAAAGCATGCTCCTGCCTGTGTCCAGTGCTGTGTTTGTGGAAGGAATGCTGAAGGGCCGCTACTTATAATGAGCAAAGAGAGAAACCACAGGTGCTGGTAGGGACACAGGCAGAGCATCAAGCAGCTACTAGGTACCATCCCGCACCTCCTTGTTCAAAGCAGCGTGTAGGCACCAGTGCAGCCCATGCCTCTCCATCCTGGACCACCCTGAACCCGCTCACGTCAGGGTGATCCCCTCCCCCAGGCCTTCAGGGTTTTCCCTCTTGCAATATTAGCAGTCGCTGGGTCCAGGGCAAACAAGATGGAGGCGGCTGCCTCCTCTGCGTTTCTGGTTTTGAATTTCTGGCCTCAGATAAGAGTGAAAAAAAATGCTGCAGCGAGACAGCATTGCATTCTCTAAAGGGAAATAATTAAAAATAATAAAAGGAACCCGTGTGCTGTGGGGCTACACGACACCCTGACAGCGGAGACGGCTGAGACGTCTTTGTTCTCTTCCCTTGACCCTGATTCCATCCAGAGTCCTCAGCTGGCTCTTGCTATCGCCATGACAGAATTTATCCCGAGGTCTTGGGTGAAGTTCTTGTTCATGCAGATAGACACATTTGTTGAACTTTTCAGATTTTTCTCACTCTCCTGTTCTCTGGAACTGCCAAGGAAGCAAGTTTGAGAGGTTTTGTTTGCATTTGTTTTTCTTTACTGTTCAAACACATGAATTAACCTGTTTTTTTTTTCATGACCATCATTTTCTTGTCTTTCTCAAAAAAAGTTTTTTATTTTTTCTTTTTCTTTCTCTAACAAGCTGATCTGTTTTCCAGGAGTTTCCAAGTAATTAAACCCAATTAAAACCATTAGATTCCTGCTTTTAATGACAACTTTATTATTAAAGGCTAACCGCAAGGGGGAGGGTTAGCTGGCAGAACCTTCCACTGTGTGCTAATCCGCCCCTAACCTCTGGCTGACACTCAGAGAGATAAACCCCACAGAATAGGCGAGCCGCTTTAATGAATAGCTTTAATTAGTACTTTTCTTCCTCATGGCAGAGTAATTATTTGTTCGGCTTATAAACAGCTACTTGGCAGGGATATTTAAAGGCCCGGTTGGTTTGGGTAGTGTGACGGCTTCAATCGGTTTTGTGTGTGCAGGTGGGATTTTTTTTTTAAGTAAGAGAGGGGTCTTCATACCAAAATAGGTGCAGAAGTATATCATCTTGAAGCTGGGGGTGTCAGGGTAATTGACACAGAAGAAGCGAGGTGACGGCAGGCGGCAGGCTGTGAGCCAGCTTCAGAGTTGACAACACCCACCCTGTGCAGGGAGCATGGGCAAGCCCAGACAACACCACTCCGGGACACAAGCCTGGCCCCAGAGCAGTCTGGGTCCTGAGGGGGGAGGAGAGGACCTGGGGTGGCACAGGGCCAAGCCAGCACCCTCCCTCTGCCCCAAATCCTTTGCCCAGGTGGCATCTCAAGAAGGAAGAACCAAGTTCACACAGTAGGTGTGGCCAGAGAGACCCAGAGATGAGAGCCTGGCCACCCCTTAAAACGGAGCGCCTTCCTTGTGACCAGACTGTTGTTGACCCTTTGGGAAACGGGTCTGTGGCTACTCAAGTCAGGATGGGGGACACAAAGTTAAGTGAGCTGCCCCAAGTCTCCTGTGGAAAACACAGAGTGCCAGTGTGCACCCAGGGTTCTCTGGGTCTGTCACATCCTCCTTGAGATATAAGAGAGGCACCTCCTGCCTCGGTGATTGGGAGATTTCCATGGGGCAGGCGAGGGGGGGAGGCGGCGCGCGTGGTGGCAGGGACTCATGTATTCCAGACAGATTTGAAACTCATTAAATAGTCAAAGAGGAGCTTGAACTGAGCCCCCACCTCCTGAGTGCTGGGATTGTGGGCATGCACCACACCGTAGGTTTGTTTGGTGCTGGGGATCGAACTCCAGGGTTTGGGCAAGCTAAGCAAACACTCCTGAGCTGAGCCCCAGCCCCAGCCCCAGCCCCAGCCCCAGCCCCCCGGTTAGTTTGTGGTTTTTAATGTAATCCAGTTTGAGCCTGAGTTAGAAAGCTGGTTTCATTTCAGTGTTTTCCAAGCTGTAATTGCAAACTCGGCTGCTGACGCTGTGGGCCGAGAACCGCACTTTTTCTGGTCTACAGTTCTTTAGAGTGGGACTTCTCAGCCAGAGTGACTTGACTCCTGGGGCCTGTTGGGCCAAGTCTGGGGCTGTCATCACTGGGGGGAAGGGGGAAGGTGCTATTGGCATTAGAGACACGGATACCCAGGAAGGCCCCCTCTGGAAATACTATTAACACTGAGCTGGGGGCTGGAGAGATGGCTCAGTGAGGAATGTGCCTATATGTAAGCATGAGGCCCTGAGCTTGGATCCTTGGCACCCATGGAAAGCCAGGCATGGCAGTACACATCTGCAAACCTATCGCTGGGTGCGGGGGAGGGGACAGGCAATAGAGACAGGTGGATCCCCAAGGCTCACTGTCTGGTCACCCTAAGTGGAGCAGTGAGCTCCACGTTCAGTGAGAGACCCTGTTTCAAAACTAAGATGGAAAGTAAAAGAGGAAGATGCCCCGAGTCAACGTTTGCCCTCCGTACCTGCACACCCCAGCACACATGCACATGTACATACAACACACGCACACACACATACATACATACATACATACCACTTACACATGCACCACACATGCATATATCACACATATACACTCATAAACACACACACACACACATACATACATACCACTTACACATGCACCACACATGCATATATCACACATATACACTCATAAACACACACCACACATGCATATCACACATACTCAGACTACATACTCTCTGGGCACCTTGCAAACAAGCAGCAGCGGTGTTGATATGACCACTTGTGGCCTGGGGAAGGCTCAGTGGAAGAGCACTTGCCTGGTACATACAAAGGCCTTGTATCCAGAAGCACAAGAAGAAAGATTAACCAGCCCATTGAAGTTGCTAACCCTCCATCTGCAATCTTTTTGAAACACATCTAGAGCTGAATGCCAGCAGATGAGTTCTCTCTCTGTCTCTCTGTCTCTCTGTCCCTCTGTCTCTCTGTCTCTGTCTGTCTCTGTGTGTGTGTGTGTGTAGTGTGTAGTGTGTGTGTGTGTGTGTGTGTGTGTGGTCAGAGAACAACTCTATAGCATTGGTTCTCTCCTTCTAGCCTTGCTTGGGTCCCAAGAATCAAATTCAGGTTGCCAGGCTAACACAGCAAGTGCCTTTACCAACAAAGCCATTTGGTTGGCCCCCACTTAAATCTTAAAAAAGTAGACAACCGCTGTTTTAAAATAGACATTTATCAAAAGATGCATGGTCGTTGTCTTCACTGCAGTAAAAGTAATGTGTTTTGTTTTTTCTCATTGTGGTTACAATTTTAGTTTTCTTTTGTATTTGGATGGTCCTGGGTTCAAATCCAAGCTTTTGCCACTTACAGTCTCCATTTGTCTAGAGGAAATAAGCTGTGACACAGGGTCACACACAGTCATGTCTCAGAAGGCTTGCTGGAGCAATTGCTGGTCCAGGCGTGAGGGATCA